CTGTGGATTAGCTACAGTAATCTTTCCATTAAGTTTAAAAAGATGAAATCTACAGTAACCCATCATAATCCGTTTAAGATTCAAGCTACAGTAGCCTTAACTACAGTGATCCATCTAATTGACTTCCAAATTGCTGATATTCCATTCCAACTATAAAATCTAGCTACAGTAATCCATCTAACGGATTCCCAGATTGTAGTTCTCCCATAATAACTAGCTATAGTGATCTGGACTTTCCAATATCCAAGCATTCTACAGTAATCCCATGTCGAGACTCTAGACTCTAGACACCAAGGATCACGTGATCAGCAAGGATCCTAGACCGTCTCTAGGCTAGAGGAAGAAGCGTATGACCGTGACGTCATCTGAAATAAGGGATTCTGAATTCTCTCTTCTTCTCGAACAGCGTCAACTCTCTCCTCATTTAGTGTAATAATTCCTCTCCAAAAGTACTTTTCTTCTTCTCCTTCTTATCAAGATTTCTCTCTCTCTTGTTCCATATCGACACCGAATGTGTCACAAGTTTTCCCCGATTCGACGACAATGAGAATGACAACGGAAACAGACGAAAAAAAAAGGAATTTCCGCTAATGCTGCTGAAAAAAAACAAAGAAAAACGTCCTCGCTGATTTGGGAAGACCTTCAGAGAACGTTTTTTCCCCTTCCATTATGCCCAACTTTTAGGCCGAAAAAAAAACGACTGCCGTCAAGGACGATTTTGGGGGCGAAAATTGATTGTGTGTTCGGAAAATTCCGGTTGGCTTGGGTTATTCGGTTGTTTTGATAAATGACGGGGTTTGGAGATGTATCCTCAGGTGATTCGATTGTGAGAATGTCAGATTTTGGGATCCGAAGATCAGAAATCCAGGACCCTAAAGATCTAGGAAGCTGGAAAGCGTAGAAGTAGGTCGCTAGGTAGCTAGTTAGTTTGGAAGCTTGGAAGCTAGAAAGCTGGAAAGCTAGGATCCCCTGGAATCCAGGAATCCATGAATCCAGGAATCTAAGAATCTAAGAATCGAGGAATCCAGGAGCCCAGGAATCCAGGAATCCATGAATCTAATAACCTTAGAAACGTGTGATTCAAGAATCCAGGAATATGAGAATCATATGATCCGAGAATCCAAGAATGCAGGATTCCAAGAATCTGATGCCTTCCCACTATGATATCCATAGCTACAGTGACCCAGGATTTACAGGTTTCAACACCTTCTAAGCTACCGTAATCCTAGTCCAAGCGGATTTTCTGTTTCCACGTATTGCTGCCCGATTCCTTCAGAGCTACCGTAATCGAGATTCTGTAGCGTTGCAGGTTTCTACCGTAATCCACTTAGAAGAAATCGCAGATGCTACAGTAACCCCTTGAATAGAGATTTGCAGGTTCTGATCAAGCTTCAAACTACAGTATTTCAATTCATATATGCTCCTCAGACTTCACGCATGTTGAGCTACCGTAATCCAGATTCATCCCTGGCTATCGTAGTCCGTCGATTCCGCAGTAATTACAAGAGCTACAGTAACTCAAAATTTCAAATTTCTAACTTTCCGAGTTTCCGATGTTCAGATCTTCCCAATCAGTTTCAGATTCCAATTTCCGAATTTCGAGAATTTATTCAGAACCTCCCATACCTTCAGAATCGTCCACATCTTCAGAATCTGTTTAAAATCTCTCCAAAATTCATTTTTGACCATTTTTTCGAAATTTCCAAATTCGAGAACCTCCACAAACTTCCGAATCCTTCCTGTTCCCAGGCCCCTTTTCCCAGATCTTCCATTATGGGAAATGAGCATAAATTGCTCATTTTTATTGGGGTATAATTTGATGGGAAATGGTATGGGAACCTACGAAAATTCTATAGATTCCAATAAACAATAAAAATGAGCAGTTTGCTCACTTTCCCATTCCCATCCCATTCGTATAGTTGACCTTTTTTGCCAATGATCAAACTAACACTCCTATTAGTATTCCAAAAACGGAAAGAGACGCCGAGAAAAACAGCCAAAAAACTACATTACTATACTAAAAAAGTGTGAGTGTGCTCCAGAAACAAGCTCCGCCCACTTTTGGCAAAAACTCGCTTGCACTTTTCTAGTGAAACAAACAACGTTGTTTCGTTCGTGGCGGCGCTTTCAAGGAAATGAAAATAGGAAGAAGAAGAAGAAGCCCGTATGACTTGGTAATGAGCTCTATAGTCAATTTTGAGTTATTAGAAAAAATCCATCTGGCACATTTTTTTTTCTCCTGCTGTTTAATAAATAAACAATTGGGGAGGAAGAGAAGAACCAAACAAAAAAAGGGGGACGAAATTCGATATCCGGATCATTGGTTGGAACCGAAAATTGTTGGAATTTGCTTCTTGGGAGGGTCAGAGGGTCTTTGAGGATTCAGGGATTGAGGATCCAGAAGATCAGAAGACTAGGAATTCAGGATTCCAAAGAGGAAGCTAGGAAGCTAGGAAGCTTGAAAGCAAGGTAGCTAGGTAGCTGTGATATCCATAGCTACAGTAATCCAGGATTTGCAGGTTTTAATACCTTCCAAGCTACCGTAATCATAGCCCAAGAGATCTTTTCACATATTACGGTCCGATTACTTCAGAGCTACCGTAATCGAGATTCTGTAGCATTGCAGGTGCCTACAGTAATCCAATTAGAAGAAATCGCAGAAGCCACAAAAGCCCATTGCAGGTTCTGAACACCATCTGATAGGCTTCACACTACAGTAGCCCATTTCAAACTGATCCAAAGATTCCAGGATTGTTAAGCTATCGTAATCCAGATTGATCTATGAGCGATTAATGACCAGAGCTACAGTAATCCAAACTGCACTTTTAAGAAGGACATTCGGACACCCAAGATAAACCGATAGATCTTTTCAGCCTTCAATCAGCTTCTGAGGCTCCCTTGCACACCTTCCTGACCCATTTCCATCTAAAATTCGAATTCTAGATGGGAAATCTGAGGTTTAGGCCCTTGAAAACATCAAAAATGCACCTAAAATTTCAAAATTCCGATTTTTGAGCAATTTTCAAATGGCAAAGTGGGATTTTCCATGAAATCTACCAACCTGAAGGTCGCGGGTTCGAATCCCGATGGCCATTCTTTTGGTTTTTTTTTTGGAAAATCTGATTTTCGATCATTTCCTGTGCCTCTCCATGTGCGTGTGTGTGCTTCGATAGCACAAAAAACGGCAAATGTGTGTTCCAAGAGTGAGAGAGCATGCAAAATGAAGAGACGCTGAGAAACGAGTTTTCCAGTTGGCACTTTCTCGCCCTTTTTGGCATCAGGCAGCATGATAGTTTCGAACAGAAAAGAGAGAGAGAGAGAGAGAGAGAGAGAGAGAGGGGAAAGTTGAACACGGCGACGGTGATGGTGGAACAAAAACGAACCGATAAGATAACGATGCGCTGAAGGTTTTAATTTGGAAACTTCAAAATTGAGGGGAATGGAAAATAATAAGAATCCAGGAATCCGGGAATCTAAGAATCTAAGAACCAGATGCCTCCACACTACGGTATCCATAGCTACAGTAACCCATTGATCTTCAGGTGGCAATATCTTCGAAACTACCGTAATCCACGGGTGTTCTTCTGATTTTACGTTTTGAGGTCCAATTTTTCCAGGGCTACCGTTTCCAGACAGATTTGCTACAGTATCCCATTGCAAGTTATGATCATCATGGGATAAGCACTTCAAGATGCAGTAATCCATTTTATACAGATTCTCAGAATCTGGGGCTCAAATTCCGGGATTGTTGAGCTACAGTAATCCAACTAGAAGGATTCGCCGCTACAGTATCCCATTGCAAGTTCTGATCGTCATGCGATAAGCAGCAAATTACAGTTGTCCGTTTCATATTCCTTCAGAGCTACCGTAATAAAGATTCTGACACAGCCCTATCCAACCATATTTACTACAGTAATCTAATCAGTACAAATCACAGCAGCTACAGTAGCTCATCGTAGCTTCAAACTACAGTAATTCATTTCATACTGGTCCTCAGAATCTGCGGCTCAGATTCCAGGCTTGTTAGCTACCGTAGAGTCATCCCTAGCTAACGTAGTCCATCGATTCCACAGTAATGACAAGAGCTACAGTAACCCAAACTTGCAGATTTCCCGAGCTTCCAATTCAGTATACATTGCCAGAGTCCAATCTTTGGAACCTTACAATTTCAGAATTTCCAAAACCCATTCAGTTATCAAAGAAGACATCCGGACATCCCAAAGTCATCTTGTTTACTCATTGCTCAGATCTCCTGGGGACCATCCATCCGCTTTTTTTTCAGCCAAGGAAATCAAAAACACGTAGAAATCGAGAGAGAAAAGGGAGAAATAGTGTAGATAGAGGAGAGAGTGGTTAGATTGGAAGTAGACACGGTGTTTTTTTTTCAGGACGTAAAGTAAATGTTCTCTAACGCGAATACCGTAGTTGAGCGCGCTGAGTATCGACGCGCATGCATTAAACTGAACGGCCGAGTCGCTACGCCTGCATTCCATCAAAAAATGCGCGAATTCAAAATTATTTTTTAAAACGTCCCGGAAAAAACACCGTGAGTAGAGAGATCAATTGGTCTTCAGCAGACAAATCAACTAAAAATTCCAGATTATTCCAGCCAATTTCTGGCTAAAATTCCGCACTTTCTAGCCAAAGATAAGTCATTTTAGGCCTGAAATGGCACTTTTACAGCTATAAAACTGGTCGAATTTCAGCATTTTCTAGCCAAAAAAAAAACATTTTAAGTTCAAAAATTCCCCATTATCCATCCAAGAAAGGGCCATTTTCTCATTTCCCAACCATCGAAAAATCTCAAAAATCTCCAAAAAAAAAAATCGCCCCAAAAACTACTTCTCCTAAATTCTCACATAAATTTAGTCTCGTTTTTGTTTTGTTTTCAAAAGGGCTCAATTCTCAGAAAGCGATAAAAAAAGCAGGTGATTAGATGGAGCAGTTTCCCAAGAAAATCGCATCGTCATTTGTTATTATTCTGACTCCTCGAGAGTCGACTACAACATTAGTTTTCTATAGAATTTTGACTGAAAATAATTTGAGTCTGAAATCGATTTTTTCAGAAATTGTAGTTTTTCGAGACGTTTTCTAGGCCGTTTTTCTCCGATTTCGGGGTATTTTTGGATCATTTGCAATCGTTAAAAAATCTTACCAACGAATTTCCAGTCATCGCAATGAGCACAATCATCGAGAGCACATTCTGAAATCTCTCCAACTCGTGATTGCACGCAACCGCATCGAAAAGAAACGGTATCGCGTCGAACACTGCGGACATCTGGACATTTGACAATCCGGGACGTTCGGTGTCGGAATCCACTGGCAGCATCCGGGTACTGTCGGAGAGGAGCTTCTGGCGGATGGCGTTCCAGTTGGGTGTTTCTGAAAAAGTCATTTTTAGCTTTTTGGGGGGTTTTTGGGCAATTTTCGATTATTTTACGGTCATTTTAAGCGTCCAGAAGTGACTAGAACTGCTTGAATTCTTTCCAGAAAATGTTAGACTTATTCGGCACATTTTCTGGCTAATCCTGAAAGTAATTTTCAAAATTTTTAGTCATTTAGAGCCCAGAAACCTCTATAATCGTTGCAATAGTTTTCAGAACATTCTAGACTCATTTGGCACATTTTTTGACACCTTCATGATCAATTTCGGGACCCAGAACCTTCCAAAAAAATCGTTTTCCGTAGAAAATGGGGTCATATATTTTCAAAAATCATAGAAATCAGTCGATTTTTTGGTCGAATTTCAGGTTATTTTCAGTTCATTTTGTATAATTTTAGAGCCACTTTGTGATGTTGAGGTCATTTTCTGGGGTCTTTCAAGCTCTAATTATCAACTTTAGATCTCTTTTCACTACTTTGAACACATTTTAAACTAGTTTTGCGCTTAGAAAAGTCTAGAAGTTTTGAAAATGGCGAAATTGACGTCAATCGAATTCTGGAGACATTTTTGACATTTCAAAAGCATTTTTTTTTGTTTTTTTTTTTAATCATTTCGGGTCCATTTTTAGCCGATTTTCATCAATTTTTGGGGTCAATTTTAACCAACTTTCCACCGTATTCCAGCCAATTTCAGATCAATTTTCCAATTTCAAAAAACTCACTATTATCCTCGTTTAGAATCAAATCGAACGGTAATCGAAACGCGATGGCTTTCAACGAGCTCTCAAACAGCTCCATCGTCTCCTCAGTCGGCGTCAGTGTCTCCAGCACGGCGAGCATCTGTTTCATTGCGTAGTCACTGCAAAATGGGACGGTCTGGAGTGGGTTTTTTGAATTTTGAAATTTCTAAAAAAAATTGCATTTTGAGCCAAAACCAATCAGTATGAAAATGCTCCAAATTTAGTGAAAAATCTGATTTGAGCCAGCTCGAAAATATCGTTTTTGACCAATTTCACCAATTTGGATTTCCAGAGAAGTCATTTTTAGTCGATTTTTTTCCATTTTTAGCTTTAAATTCAAAATTTTGAGCAGTTTCAGCCAGTTTTCCATATTTTTTGGGTCTTTTTCTGCAAAAAAAATTGCTCAGCTTAAAATTTTCACCGTAAAAAACATGGAAAATCGTCTGAAAACCATCATTTGAATACTGGAAAATACTCAAACTTTAAAACTAAAAATTCCAAATTTTCATATCAATCTTAATTGGTTTTAGACCAAATCTGAAATTTCAAAATGTTCGAATTTCCGGATTTTCCAAAAAATTTCGATTTTTCTGAATTTCAGAAAACTTACGCCTCATCGGTGTAATCACTATAAGTAGACGCAATGATATCTGGGAGTACTGTAGCGTCGCGTGGTCCATCCAACCAATGAGGCGCGGGTCTTGTGTCCGACGACAGACTCGGCGGCGTCTCATCTTCACCGTCGATGTAGAGATCGCTCAACTGTTGGATCGGTGCGACTGAAAAATCGATTTTTTGGAAATTTGGGATTTTCGGATTTTCGGAAAATCGACTTTCCAAAATTCTGAGTTTTTAATGTTGATCATGACCCAAAAAACCAATTTTTTGAATTTTTCGGAAAACTAAAATTTAGGTAATGACCTAAAAATCCAAATCTAGGTCATGACCTAAAAATCCAAATCTAGATCATCGCCTGAATATCCAAATCTAGACCATGACTCAGGCCATGTTTTAGGTCATTTTTAGGTCAAATTTAAGAAATTTAGGATTATTGGAACATCAAATTTTCAAAATTCCGTGTTTCTAAGACAGGCTTCTGCTGAAATTTCAACGATTTTGAGCTCAAAAATCGTCTGAAATCTATTTTTTTTCATAAATTCAAAGGTTGACAGGAATTTCAGATTTTCAGCCGAATTTTTGAAATAGATTTGGAGCCGAAAATAACCCAGGTTTGAGGAAATTGAAAGAAATTTCTGGGCGTTTTTTCAAATTTTTTGGCAAAAATTCCAGAATTTTTGGAATGGAAAATGGTTGATCGGATGAAATCGCAAGGATTTTCAGATTTTCCGTCGAATTGTCCACAAATTTTGAGTTTTTGAGCTGAAATTTCGGCGATTTTTATAATTTTTTAGGTCCAAAAAAATCAAAATTTTGATGATTTTTAGCCAAAAACTTGGCGATTTTTCGGCATTTTTTGCCATTTTTAGGCTATTTTTCTACTCACAAATCGAATTATTCCGTTT